GGACAGTGACTCCTAAAAGCCTGCGTTTTTACTTTCTCAGAGCACTGTTTTGTTTTTAGTATGCTGACAAAAAACTTACTAAGGACGATTTACCCAGGAAATTCCTCTTAACTCAGCATTTTTTCCCTCTTCTCCACGTGCTTGCTCTACCACATCCCAATAAAAACGATGTAGGAGGAGGTAGAAATTACATGCATTTTTATGTACAGAGTCTAATACTCTTCAGGGATAAAGCCTGCGAGTTTTCAGATTTCTAACCTAGGGTCTGTTTACCCTACACAGTGGAGGTGGCTGGATAAGATGATGACTCGGGCCCTCTCAGCGGAAAGAGAATTGCAGTCAATTATTCCTACTTTTGAAAGCAGTTTCTACTTTTCCCCACTCTGAATCTGAATCAAATTTTAATGAGAGAAAAAAAAAGAAGAAGAGTTCCCTGTCAATGCTGCTTGGTCAGAAAATAGTGGTCCTCTTTAAAACAAGGATATAATTGCCCCTGGTGGATGCCTACGTAGGTAGTTAAAGATGTTAAGCTGACTGAAGAGCTAGAATGTTCCTGGACAGTCCCTGGGAATCAAGAATAAATTGTGAAATATATCGAATCCCAGAACATGGAGTACAACTCAGGTCACATTCCAACATATGTGTGATAAGGTAGTTTACATTCTTTTAAGACTCACTTGGAAAGGAAAACCTGGAATATGTAACTGCTTTCTCCCTGGCCAATGGATTGGCTGCCTTATATATTTTTAGCAGACAAACAAGGCTCCCATTTTGTCCACTATGGAGCTCTCTCGCCACTACAATGAATTATATAGACATCCTAATTGAGAACCAGTTTCAAATGAATGTGCAGATATAGGTGAACAGATACACTGTTAACATACAAGAGAGAACTTCTGTTTCTCAGTGTCTGCACTTGTGAAGAAGGTTTCATTCTCTGGGTGGAAGGATGAGAGCTGAGAAATATGACCTTGCAGTGAGAGAATTTTAATGTGCAGTGTATTTAGCTGAACAAAGGCCTGGCAGACTCCCCTTCTTTATTGCTACATATATTAGAGCATTTACATAGTGCTAGTTCTTGTCTAAATGGTGGGGTTGTGTCCAGGTCAACCAGCAGCTCATGAAATCTCTAATTCTCCTAGAAGCCAGATGCAATTGTGATCAAAGGTAAAGCTTTTGCTACAATTCTAGTCGCAAAGAAAATGTGAAAGGACCCCTAGAAACAAACCAAACATTATATTCTCTTACATTTTCCCAAACCACAGTAACAACCAGTTTTGCCAAACACTTGAATATCTATTGAGTTGTGATAAGAAAAGCATAATCACATCCTGATGTGTTCAGTAATTTCTCTTTCTTTGACTCCTTTTTTTGTCTTCCTAGTTTTGCTCTTCTGAGGCATTTCTTGCCCTCACCAATACTTAAATTGTAGCCTAACACTGCAGGAAGATTACTGGTAATTTTGCCACAATGCTTAAAATAAGAAATCCACTTTTAGATTTTATCAACAGGAATATAACAGTTTTGTATAGGAGAAACTAAACATTCTGTGTATTCACTTCAAAGAAAATTTCTGGTCTCTGTTCTAAGGCAACATTGCTTAACTCTTTGCTAATTTTAAGTGGCTGGCATGGCCATTTTTCTCTTCTTGGCTAAGTACTGAAGGTCTTCTGCTTCTTTCTTTTGGAAAACTTCATCTAGCTAGCTTTTGCAACTTTGTCCTTTGAGAATATCACAGTATGGGATAAAGAAGCTGGGGTAATGGAGTGGAGATTTAGACAGAAGGAAACATAGAGTTGTCATTGTTCTGTGCTGGTTGAAGTAAATGCTCGTTATGCTTGATTTCATTTATTTCCTGTCTCACTTGTTAACAAAAAACTGCTTCTTTTCTCCTGAACATGATGCTCATGTGAGAAGAGAACAACAATCATCTGTTTTAATATCAACATTTCCATGGACGTTTAGAAAGCTGGGAAGTTATGACTCCTGTTTATGAATCTAAATTTAAAATTAAATATTAGTTTTTCCTAGAAACCATACTATTCCATATTTCTTCAAAGTTCTGGAGAACATAACCCCTTTAGCATAATCACCGTATTTTAAAATGGATTTCTGGAAATTGGTTCTAACTGGCAAAACATAAAAGACTAACATATTTAGAATCAGAAGATACATAGGGAACAAAAGTGTGATTTTCTGCACCTGAATCTGAAATTAACCCATGGTACATTACTTTCCACCTCGCACTAAATAGAGTTTACAGCAAACTCACGGGACCAGATGCATCTTACTAGATGTGTATGTGATAGGGAGGGGGCAGAGCCCTTCAGTAGCAGAGAAGAGGAAGGATGAACTCCAGTTTCAGCTTTGTGACAAACTCAGTGGTTGACTTTTTTCCCCTACCACAGTAAGTGCATCAGCACCCGTCACCATAAGGTTACTGTGATATGACTAGGTATCCCCTGTGCTGTACATCTCACCCAGTGGATGACGAAGCAAGCTACCATTTCCCTTTATGCCTTGGTATTCTTGACCACAAAATAAGAGTACTCCTAACTTCAGCCTTTTATGTTTCTATAACATTATTGGATATGAAAATATCCTGGACTGCACATGAAAAGGAAATGTTTATCATAAGTAGCACTTAAAAATGTATCTTACCAGTTTGTTTAAAAACAACATCACTGTTCAAGCTGGGTTAACCTTAAGGAAAAAAAATTTTCTTAGGTTTTTTTTTTCTCTCTCTACTATCATAAATATTCTTAGGCACAAGCATTATCTGTTGATGACAACGGCCCATTTGCCTCTGACCAGCCTCTTTAGAAATACCTTACAATTTCAGTCTATTACCTGCTCGAATGCTCCAAGGAAACAGTGATTTGGGGAGTAGTAAGTAACTTGGATATGGAGATTAAATCAATTCAGCCTATCCTTTGTCTATATTGCTTTTATTTTTTAATGTAAGTGCTTCTGTTATCACAATCACCCAGCTGGCATTTTAAATTGCTACATGAAAAAAATCCAAAAAAAAAACCAAAAAAAACCCTATTATTTCATTTTTAACCTGACTTAAAAAAAGAAAAAGAAAAAAAAAAGTAAGCCATGAATACACGTGTAGTATGTATGTATGTATGTATATGAATCTGTCTTTTATTATATGGGTATGTAAAATCACACCCTTCCTTTGCATAAAGCAGGAGATCTAAAATTAAAAACTGGGGGAACGTTCTGTTGGATTCTCTGTTTGAGTGCATATAAAGAGAATTTCCTTTCCTTTGTCCACAGAGTTAATTTCCTACTAAAAATCTTACAAAAATGGATAGTTTCTTGCAATGAAAAAAAAACACAAAAAATGTATAGGTAGAAAGAGCTATAGTGATGGATTATTCTGTTCAGAGTTTCTTAAATTGGAGTCCTTGGTTTGGAAGACTGTGGGCTCCCCAAAATTGTATGTAATATTTTGTATTAATGTCATTATATTCACTTTTAATCAGGTTCTCAAAAAGATACATTACCCAGAAAAGATTAATAACTACTAATCTAGTCCAATTAAGAAATCCTAATCCCAGAGTGGGAGCAACTTGCCAGTTACACCACAGACCAGTGACATCTACAGCTGCAGAACCAAACTCTTAAGGCTCTGATGCTAGTCCAGATGCAAATAGATTTTTTTCTTCAACTTGCATCCTCTTGTGAAAAAAACACTGCCTGCTTTATTTGTTGCAAAAGTAAATGTACTTTATAGAGTTCCCATGATACCATTTTAACATTTACTGTCACCGACATGACTGTTTTAAGACTTGTCGGACAAGACATAGGCCCAGAGGGGGTACAAAAAAATCCCTCAAAACAAAACAAAACTCTCTCTCTTCTACACGCATGATGAAAATCTAATTTATTATTACCTACAGAAGCAGAGATGACTTGTATTTAACACTCCATGTTTGAACATCGACTAGAATTTCAAAGAGACAAAGCTGTTCATCCAGAATAGCAGACCTACCTGGAAAAAGGTCTCCTTTTCTGAAAAAAATCTTCTTTTACTGAAATTAGGCATATTAATATAATCACATCAATAAACTATGATCAGCAAAGAGTCAGTATTGCACATCAAGCCTCTACTAATTCAAATTCCTTTTTACTTGTTCTTTCTGTGTTTTTATGAAAATTCTTTTTGATTTAGAAAGTGTTGCCAAGATGTACTGGTTATCAAATATGCCTTCAGAGCTAAATCTGTAGGAACATTGCACATTTCCCATATCTTTTTCTGACTTGTCTTCCCTCCGCAGAAGGAAGAAGAAAGAATTCCAAGGAAAAGAAGAAATATCTATAAGTAATATGTTCAGGGGCATTCAATGCTAGGTGGTTTACCAGGCTTGATTGCTACTGGTGAATCAGAGCAAAAATATGATGGTAACATCTGTCATGTTCTGTGAAACCATGCACAATTTTAACAAAGGCAAGATAAGTCTTTTTACTTATTTCAGCAATGTGCTCTACTTGATATCGATTGATAGATGTCTACAAAACAAAATCACTAACCTGCAAAAACGACTAAATTCTTAATGTAGGGTAATGTTTTCCTCTGAGCCAAGAATATAATGGCCAGTGAGCATAAAGTGATAGGATCATACAGTATTGTCCCAACAGTGACTTTAAACTCGATAATTTCCCCTTCAAGACCCTGAATACCAGACAGTGCAACAAATAATATTCCTGATTCTGAACTTAAATTCAAATAATTAATGAAGTATTTCCTCTTGTGTAGAAAGTAAAGTACAGGGTTTGGTTGTTGGGTGTTCAGGAACGTCACTGCACTTTCCATGTCTCCAGTATAAACCAACGTGTGGCAAAAGAGAGATATTGTATATCTCAGTGACCATGGAGAGACACAGTGCTCTTCAGTCTCAAAGTGCAAATTAAACAAAGTACCTTCAGAGGTGAAAAATAAGACAATCTACGTTGGGGGAGAAAGTAAATAAGAATAACAGAGGCCAAAATGCTGAACAATGGGAAGAGTTATTAGTCTATATATTCCATTATGATTTACAGTAGTGATATTTTCCTCATTACTATGCAACAGTAATAGATTAAGTAAATTGCAGATGAAAAAGACCTATTAAATCATTGTGTCTAATGTATGCAAAGGAGGGCAGATTTCCGTAGACAAAGGAAAAAAGAAGAAAGAAAAACATAAAAATAGATACTCTAGCAACATCTACCAAAGTTCATTCGGCATTAAGGCCACAGACATCAAATAGAGGTATTAGCATCAGTAGTGAGGAAGAGGAGACACAAAGTACCCGTATTAATACAGAGTCCTGTGCTATATCTTCAAACATCTACTATATTTGCCTGGAGCTTTCCTCAATCAAAGCTACTCTGTTTATACTCACGTAGAAAATGTAATCTGAGTTTCAATGCATTTTTAATTTCATTCAATCTTGCATGTGTTCAACCAAAAACAATTTAAAGAAGACCAAGGCTATCAGCCTCACAGTGAGCAAGTGCGGTGCCTCCCTAGGGAGTTCTTGAATCTGCCATAAAAATCAACAGTGTGCATCTAATAGTTTTCTTTTCATTTGAGCACTGGAAAGTCAATCATCATAGCAACTATTCTTCAGGGCCTCTTTGGTTTCCCGATTAAACATGTAATGTGACCTGTCATCTTGCCACATCCTCTGCTTTTCCATTTTAAATAATCATAAATAAGAAAACCTTGCTACTCTTTGGCATGGTACAGCTACTTGATCCAGCTGAGCTTCAAAGTCTTAGAAATTGCACTCATTCCTTGTTCAGAGTCCTGGCTCCTCTCAAAGGCTTTCAGCTGAAAGATTCTTTATTGTATTCAAATCTTGTCCCATATGGGTTGTTTTGGTTACTCAGTTTATGAAGAGTCTTAGAAATTGAATTGGGTCCGCAGCAGAAAACACCAACCGTTTTCCTGGTGAGAGAGAGGGAAAAAAGGGAAAATCAGGTGGAAAATTAGGCAGAACATAACACGAAGTATGGGTCAGGAGCATGTTGAAGGTATTAACGAAGTTCATTTCTTGCTGCTTTGCATACAGAATTAACTTCCCAATTATTTCCAAATGTAAATGATCACCATGAAGATATTTTATGTACTTCATGCTGCCCTGCTAGAATTCAGGATAATTCAAAGAATCTAATTCTGAGCACAGATTTGCTTATAATCAGACAGAAAGTGAGCAGTCTGCTCTCAACCTTTCCATCAGATGCAGGAACCAAATCAAGAGCAGCAGCGGATAGATGTCCATCCACACTGGATCATGTCAGTCTTCTCTTACTGGATGTTTTATATGCATTTTTCTAAAGATCCCATGAATTGTCATGGGCAGTGATGAGTAAAAGAAAGAAAGCTACTACCAGTTTGAAAGGATAATTCTAAGTAAATAATTTATATCCATGTTGAAACAAAAGCATATTAATCTGTATACATTTTCTTGTTTATTTATGCACTGTAATAACTACACCAAATGCCAAGCAGGTTTATTGTTGCTAACATAAAATTTTAGTAGATAAAATTATACATATCCCTAACAAATCGACTAAATAAATCCCAGGAAATGACTGGTATGTCACATCGATCTTCCTCTGAAGTTTGTTATTTGCACTGAATTCTTCCTAGGATACCAAAATGATTAACAATTCATATCCTATCTTGGATAAATATAGTATGTCCTCATTATCGTATCTGAGAATAAGTGGTGCTGAAAAAAAACCAGTAAATCCATTTAAATGGGTACCAAGATTTTGTAATAAATATTTAAAAAATGGTTTTACTGTAACTTTCTACCTTGAAGAATGAAACAAAGAACTACAAAAATAGAACTTTCACTTGTGGCTATGGAGTAGCAGGGACTAGACTTACCCTCATGCATTGAAAAACTAGGGGGAAAAACCCAATATATGGAATAAGTATTTTCAGACACTAGACAGTAGGTAGAACAGAACAGTGATTCCTAAGACAAAGAGAAAAATCCAAGGTGAGAAAACCAGTTGCCAGCAACTGTCTTTGCTTATGGCCTGGAGGCAGTCTATGGCTTGGAGGCAATCTACGGCCTGTAGCACAGAGAAACTCAAGCCAAGGCTGGGATTCCCATTGAGCTGAAGAGACAAAAGAATGGAATTCATGGACAACAAAGTGGTTGGAATTTGTGGAAGGGAAGAGAGATCCAAGGAAGGAAGCTCTATCCTCAAGTCTTTGGCTGAGCACTGATGTGCTTCTGCGTGAGAGGAAACTACGTGAATCTGGATAAAGAACTAGCAGGGAGAAGTAAGGCAAACAATTCCGAGTTGACACAAGGTTGTGAATAATTCATATTCCCACAAGCCAGAACGGAAAGATCTCCTTATCATACGCGGGCAATGGGTAGTGTTCTAGAAAGTTACCACCTTACTTGCAAGAGGCAGGATGGATGTTGGTAAAATTAGCCTTAGACTGGAGGTGCTCTGGATCTATACCCAGAAAGATCAAACTGAACCCAAGTCACAAAACTTCATGCCAGAAACAAGTCCAACAGTATTGAAGAGATCGGAATTTGGCAATGAACATCTAAACTCCACAATGTACAGTACTCCATGAGAAATCACCAAGAATTTTATAAACCAAAATTGGGAGTGTTATGGGCTGAATTACGTCCCCTCAAAATTCATTATGTTGAAAAATCAAACCGCCAGTACTTCAGAATATAGCTGTATTTGGAGATGAAAGTTTTAAAGATGTGATTAAGTTAAAATAAGGTTTTAGAGTAGATCCTATTCCAATCCGACTAATGTCTTTATAAGAGAAAATTGGATACAGAGACATGAGAGAACGCAAATGCACATAAAAAAATATCATATGAAGAGGCAGCAAGAAGGTCGTCATCTGCAAGGCAAGGAGGGAGGTTTCTGAGGAAATCAACCCTGCTGTCATCTTGATATTAGTCTTCCAGCCTGTAGGGCTTTGAGAAAATAAATTTCTGTTGTTTAATCTACTCAGTCTGTGGGATTTTGGTATGGAAGCAAGTCCTAGCCAACTAATACAGAAAGAAGAAAGATCAGTCAATAGAAACAGGCCCAGAATGACAAAAATGATGGATTTATCAAACATTTCATTGAAACAGTGATGAGAAACATGTTTCATTATATTCAAAGGAAAGCATCACCATGATGAGAAGAGGAAAAGAAGATTTTTAAAAGACCTAAGTGGAAATTCTAGTGATTAATGGAATATTTAAGATCATAAATATTCTGATGGGTTAACAGACAAATAGGCACTGGAGAAAGTAAACTTAGAGGCCTGGTGCTACAATCTATCCAAAAAGACCACACAGAGAACAAAAATCAGGGAAAAAGATGAACAGAGGCTCAGTGACCTGTGGCACAATATCAACTATTCTAACATAGATGTAATTGTAGTCCCAACATGAGAGAAGACAAAGGGAAAGAGAGAAAAAAAAAAAAAAACAACTTAAAAAATAGTTGCCGATTTTCCCCCAAATTTGATGAAAACAAATACATAGATCCAAGGATCTAATGAACCCCAAGGAGAATACACACACAAAAAAAACATGCAAGTCAATATAATAAAATGAATCATGGAATACTACATCGAAAACTAATGATGTACTGTATGGTGATTAACATAACATAATTTAAAAAATTTTTTAAAATAAATAAAACTGAAAACCAGTGACAAAGAGAAAAATATAAAAATAGCCAGAGGAGGCAAAAAGACACACTACAAATAAATAAACACAAGATGAAAGACGGAGCTCTTGTGAAAAACTATGCATGCAGGGGGGTGGGAAGTTGGACGAGCCTGATGGTGGCTATTATGGAGGGCACATATAGCATGGAGCACTAAGTGTGGAGCATAAACAATGAATTCTGGTACACTGAAAAAAAAATTAAAAAAACAACCACCATGCATGTCAGAAGGCAATAAAGCAACATCTTCAAAGTGCTGAAAGATAAGAGAAAATCCATCGATTCCATACCAAGCAAATTCTACACTAAACACAAATAACTTTCAAAACCAAGGATGGAATACAAGGTTTTTGAACAAAAAGGGAGAGAATTCATCACCAGCAAACCAGCACTATCAAGTATACTAAAGAAAATTCTTCAGGAAGGACAATGAAATGAGATGAAAATTTGAATCTACCCAGAGGAATGAAGAGCACAAAAATGGTAAATGTGTGAATAAATATAATGTGCATTTTGTCTAATTTTTAATCTCTTGGAAATATAATTGAAGTCTGAAAGAAATGTACTAACAGTGCATCATGGAGTTTAGAGTATATGGAAAAGAACGATGGATAAGAACAACAGCCAAAGATATGCAGAGGGAATGGAAGTACAGACAGTGGTATATTATTATTTGGAGTTCACTGTGATAAACCAATGATGTACATTCTAAACCTAGAACAATGTTCCTCTGATTTTAGCTTCATCAGAATTATTTGAGGGACTTCACAGACCATAGACCAGCTTGTCTACAGACCATCCCTAGAGCTCCTGACACTGGAGATCTTGGATAGTGCTCAAGAATTCGCTTTTCTAACAAGTTCCAGGTGATGCTGGTCCAAGGAATGAAATTTGGGAGGTAATGCCTTAAAGAAATCACTAAAAGCAAACAGACAAACAGAGAAGTATGGCTAACAGGTCAATATAGGAGAAAAAAAAAATGGGGTCATAAATGTACTCAATCCAAAAGAAGGTAGATGAGGAAAGAAACAAAGAAAAAGAACAAATGAGATAAATAGAAAGCAATAGTAAACTGCTGGATTTAAACTTAATCAAAGGGAGCCAAGAATACTCAATGAGGAAAAAAAACAATCCCTTCAATAAATGGTGCTGTAAAAACTGGGTATTTACATGCATAAGAATGAAACTGGACCCTTATTTTATACTACTCACAAAAATTTACTTGAAAAGAATTTAAGACTTAAATATAAGATCTGAAACTATCAAACTTCTAGAAGAAAACACAGGGAAAAACTCCTCTACATTACTCTTGGCATTAATTTCATGAATATGATACCAGAAGTACAAGCAATAAAGCAGAAATAAATATGTGGGACTGTACCAAATTAAAAACCTTCTGTACAGTGCAAGAAATGATCAACAAAATGAAAAGACAGCCTTTGGAATGGGAAAAAAATATCTGCAGTCTACACATCTGATAAGAGGCTAATATCCAAAATATATAGGAAATAATACAACAAAATAGCAAAAAAAGACAAGAAAAAAGAACAAAAATAATAAAATAATAGTAATTGAATTAAAAAATGGGCAAATCCTGAATAGAAGTTCAGGCTATTCAAAATAGCCAAAAGGCACCTGCCAAGATGCTCAGTATCACTAATCTTCAGGGAAATGTAAATGAAAACCACAATGGGGTAACATCTCACACCTGTCAGAAAGGCTATTATCCAAAAGATAAAGAGGCAACCGTTGCCAAGAATGTGGAGGAAGGAGAAACCTTGTGCACTACTGTGAGAATGTAAATTGGTGCAGCCACTGTGGATAACGGTAAGGAGATTTCTCAAAAAATTATAAATAGAAGTACCATATTATCCAGCAGTCCCTCTTGTAGGTTTACATCCAAAGGAAATGAAATCATTATCTCAAAATATATCTGTACCTCCATGTTAATTGCAGCTTTATTTATAGTAGCCAAGACACAGAGACAACCTCGGTGTCCATCAATGAAATGGATAAAGAAACCATGATGTGATACACATATATATTTATATCACACACAAACAGAGCAGTATTATTCAGCCATAAAAAAGAAGGAACTCCTGCCATTTAAAACAACATGATTAAAACTTGAAGGCACTGTGCTGATACAAATCAGACAAAGAAAGACAAATACTGTATGAGCTCAGCTATATGTGGAATCTAAAAACATAATAATAAATAACCCCTCCC